TTGCATGCACTACATCATAATGTTTTTAGTTTCCTGTCGGTATTAGGTAAAGTTGATTTAAAAGATAGAATCCCTTGAACTTCAGTAAAATGAAAAAGCAACCTGAGAGAGCCTGAGAATTTCAGTAGTCTTGGCTTCAGACTATCGATTTGCTATGCATCATTTCACTGAAACTTTTTACATTCAGGTAGGCTTCTCTATGCCTGTTATACTGTGTGCTAAACATGGAACAAGGTTTTAAGTTGAAGTTTTGAGATGGAAGTAATACATTCCTGGTTTTCTTCTTTAAAAAAATAAGGCAAGTTTTGTACCAAAAAAAAAAAAAAAAGGAACTTGAGCTGAGTCCTGTAAATGCAATGCTTATAGAATCTAATCTCGTGCTGTTCCTGATCTGAGCTCACTTGTCCTCAAAAAACTGATTGACACTCCACTTCAAGCAAGGATTGCGATAAAGTAGATCCTTAGGTGAGAATAACACGAGGTTATAATACTTTCTCTTTGATTTAAGTGCAGTTTTTTCCTACGTACTTGGTTAGCACTTCTAATTGGAAGCTGGTGTTGAGGCATTTTGTACTACTTAATCTTGAATCTCCTCCATTCCTTGGTTCTGATCTTTTTTTGACACAGTAATTTGATCATGCCCTGTTGCTCAAAAGACACACTGACTTCTTCCCAGTCATTTAGGCATATATTTTTATAAAGCCTTAAGTTGAGGTTTCAGCTTGTTTTCTGCAGTGTCTTTGAGTGATTTGTTTTTCCAGTTAAACAAATCTGAAAATGCCACTGGATATGTGGAGCTGTGCTCATTGCCTGTGTTGCATTGCCTGTTGTGATTGGCTGGGCTAATTCAGAAGGTTAAATTGGGAAGAGAACAAGTGAGTTTTTGAAGGTAGGGGTCTCTTAGATACCTGATGAGTGCTGACACAGGAGGAGGAAGACTGCAAGAATAAGCTTTCTGATGTCAGCTGAAATTCAACTGGCCAAACAATAATGCTTAGCCTGACTTCTAGAGTGTTCTGCTGACATAGCAACTTGCTGTCTGCAAAATGGAATGTTCTTGTTGTTTTACTCCATTTGTGATTGGGCCTCTTCTGAGTTCCCTGCTACTAGTTTGTGCTAAGGCCATGTATACCCATGAGCTGAATAACTTGCTGATAGAGGGGGAAAAATTTTTATGCTCTTCTGTAGTTTGGCTTTGTCTTGTGGAAATAGTTGGCAGGTTATGGAAAATCAGTGGCTAGAAAGGGTCAGTATGGTCACCCTGTCTTGCCAGAAGGGTGCTGTTTAGTGGGTAGCAAAATGCATTGCTTTTATAGTTAGACTTGTGCATGGCTGCTTCATATAGAAAATCTAAATCTGTTGTTATTTATTGCAACAAATAACAAGCCTGTAAATGTGGAAAGTATTCTGTCATTCCAAATCATGAATACTTTGTTGTGTTATGAAGGTTGTTATAATTCCTCAGTATCTTTTTTTCAGTTAGTAGTAGAAGCTTAATTCAGAATTGATGTTGAAAATATTATCATGGTCAGTATTTGATAGCACCTAGTTCTGTGGCTTTTAATGCTGCAAGTGAGCCTTAGGGATCTTTTTGTTTTGTTTACTCTTTAAACATTCTGTCAAGTTGCATGAGTAGAGTCATTGCCTTGCTGTTTCAGGTAGTATTCTTGACTTTATTGCCAAGCATGGCATTGGATCACTGTGATCAAAAATCAGGTAGTGTGTAGGGATTTAGCTGAAATTGAGTCATGTTAAAGGGCTTGAGATGGCAATCTCATCAGCCTCTGTGTGAAACAGTACAATTTTATGTATTCCAAGGAAGCAGAAAGGAAAGGGAAGGCACATCTGTAAAACCTTGGGCAAATATAAAGAAAAAAGAAAGAAAACCTCATGACGCTGTGTTTACCTTGAGAATTTACAAAACATCTTGATTACTAAGAAAGTACAAAGTGTATCCAGAAGTTTTGTTGAATGACAGACTTCAGTATTGTGAACCTGAGGCAGAAAAGGTCAGATTTCAAGAGGAGGAGGGTCAGGCCTCTTTAAAACAGTAAATGCATGTTCTATGTGCCTGTGTCCTAAATTTGGATCAGTTAAGGACCTGAATAGTGTGGTCTTGAAGTGGCTTGTTCTTCAGAACCTTGTGCATTATGAGCCTCTAAATGTGTTATTTTGGGGGAGACATGTAGCTCGTTCTTCAATTACGATCTGTGAGCAGAATACTGACTCTTGAGTGGAAGTCTTTATGTCAAAGGAAATACTTATCTTGAGCATCCTGAGCCTTGGAGAGCCCTGAATATCTGCATGGTAATTAGCTTGCTAGTTTGAACTATTGGCTTGATTGCTCTGCAACTACAGCTAGTTAAATAACTGGATGGAGATACTGTTCCAAATCAAATATGTGGCATTGGCACGTCAGATTTGAACTATTTCTAGCACTTTAAACATTTTGGAGTCTATATACTGTTTTATGAGCTGTATGTAAGTCCAAGTTAAATAATTTGTGAAGATAAGTTTGTTTGTTTGTTGGTTTGGCCTTTTTTGCTCTTTGGAGTCTGACCATGTGTCAGAAGATAAATGTAAAAATGTAAAGTTTGGAGTAGTGATATGTTATCTTTCTACCTCCCTTGCTGGAGAAGGGGAAGAAAAAAGATCTAACTGATCAACATTCTATACCTGAAAGTGTGTTTATGTCTATAAATATATATGAGTCCTGGTCAGTTCAGTCTGTAAATCTTGAAAATAGCAGCAATGAAAAAGTTTGACTTCTGAAAATATTCATGTAATTCATGTGAGAACACAATGTTCTCATAGCACAAATGAGCTGTTAGAAGTATTCCTTGGTGGGAAAATTGAGTATTGACTTTTTAAATGTACAATGGTCATCTTTATGTAGCTAAAGCCTCCAATTACTGGAAGCAGAGTTGTCAAAAAAAAAAAAAAAGGTAAAAGGAAGCAAAAGAGCTCATGTGTTCAGTTAACTGGGATATTTTTTCAGTTTAGTTTGTTACCTTCCGCAGAAGTGTGAACGGTTTTTGTAAGTTCACTTTTGTGTGGTTTTTCTGTACTAAGCTGTTTAGGGTTATATACAACTAATCACTATGATAAATTATAGGTTAAGATTCAGTAGATTTAATGTTGCAGAAAGCAGATTTCTGAATGAAAGTGTTTTTCTTTGCTTAAATTACATTACAGAATATTTATATCCTATGCATTCTGAAATTCATTTCACAAATGTAACTTGTGAATTTATTTATAAGGTAGAAAGCAATAATCAAATACTTATTAAGGAACATTCCACCTTATGTTTAAATGTAGCAATGGCAAGTGGAGCTGAATTTTGGACAGAACTCTGCATTCCAGTTTACAAATAGCTGCCCTCTTTCCAGTGTCTGTCACAATAATGTGTTAGATAAAAGGCATGAGGAGAATAGACAGAATGTTCTTGCACTACTTGTCATGGCAGATAGTCTCTATTTGAAACATGTTATGGGGTTTTTTTTTACTTTTCTTATTATTTTTGTCCCTTCACCAGCCCCACTTACCTACTGATGTATCAACAATATTGGTCTGAATTTCTGGCTTAGTTTGACTCATTTGTGTAGCTTAAGCTGTTCATACTATTGATGTTAGTCACTGGTTTTATACTGAAGAAATCCGTAGCTAAATCACTTTTTTGGGTGACTTCATTGACTGAGAAATAGTTTAAACTATGAAAAAATCAATCAATTGGAAGGAGAAAGCTTTTAACAATGGATTTGTAGATAAAGGCTTTTAAGGACTGATTTCCTGAATGCATGGCTTGCTTTTTGTATGAGTTTGGTGAGTGAAAAGGCAGCTAGCTCATGTCTCAAGACGGATGACTTCTTCATGCTTATGAGCATGGGGCTAATAAAATTTATACTTGACTTTTGCTTCATCAGTGAGCTTCTTCAGTTACAGCTTGAGTACTGACTTGGTATCTGAAGAGAGAATCAGAGCATTTGAAATAGCTCTGTTAGAGCTCAGAAAAAGGAAATACACTGTGGACTAAGACTTTAGTTCTTTTTTATCAGGTCAGTTTGCTCCAAGAGAACTAATGAGTCAAGTTGCTGGACCATCTGTTGGCAAAAGAAGTTGTGAACCTGTGGTAAACTGAACTGCTTTGTCCTAGTGGATTTCCTTTTTTGAAAGGAGGGTGGTGTAAAATGCTGAGCTTAGAATGTAGTTGCTACTGTGGAAGACATTTTAGGTATTAAGCAGAAATATGTTGAATCCTAAGCAAGCACTTGCCTATGCCTACTCTTGCACATTTACTGTCTGAGACAAGATCTTGTGTGAAGACACACCACTGCACTGAAGCAGAAGGATTGCATATGTATGATGGTAAATGTCTTCATTAGGAGGTAGGGTAGGAGAGCTCAAGTTGAGGTCTTTGAGTGACTGTCACTGTAAACATGGAGTGCTTTGTGGGATTTTGATAGGGGCTTTTTTGTTTTTTTAATTGTTGCTTTGCTGTTTAATTATTTACTGGTATGGTAAGTGCTAGAAGTTTCACTTATTTCTACTTATAAAAGATATGACTTCATAAAGATTATTTAAGGAGAAACACGTAAGTGCAGTAGTTAACGTTAAGTTTTTGCTTGATGCTCTAGATCAGTAATCAGACTGCTAAAAAGTACCATGTCTTGTGGTTTTGGTAAATCTGAATTCACAGAATGTTCATATCCAGTTAAATTCCCAAAAGACTGTTGCCCAGTTACACAATTATCAGGTTGTTTTTATATGAAGTTGTGTATTAGTGGTAGTATCCTCTGAAAAATGATTGATCTGTGCCTAGGTTTGATGTTTTTGCTTGAAATGTGTTTCTGTAGTATTCCAACACTGTTGTGAATCAGTTAATCAAAAAAAAAGCAGGAATTCCCTTCTAAAAAGGTAAGCTAATTATGGAAGAAGGCTTACTGTGAAAACCAAGCAACATGTCTTCCTTGTGTAGCAACTAACACTTGCTTTGTTTTTAGGTGCCTTAGCTGGACCGGTTGTTGATCCACATGTGACAGCAGTTTGGGGGAAGAAGGTTGCACTGAAATGCGTAATTGATGTAAATGAAACAATAACACAAGTTTCTTGGGAGAAGATAGATGGTAAAAGTTCACAGACTATTGCTGTTCATCACCCTGAATATGGAATATCTGTTCAAGGAGAATACCAAGGAAGAGTGGCATTTGAAAACTACTCACTTACTGATGCAACGATCATCTTAAAAAATGTAAGCTTTTCTGATGCAGGAGAATATGTTTGCAAGGCAGTTACATTCCCGCTTGGAAATACACAGTCGTCAACAACTGTAACAGTATTAGGTAAGTCAGCTTCTTTTTGAAAGCAAAATTCTGCAAATAACTTACAAATAAGTTGAATTTTACCATTTACCCTAAAGAAAATGCAAAATATGTGTTTGGTGGGCTTTCATTACAGGTGTACAATTTTTACTAATGTCATAGAGGAGACTTCTTTTGGTTCTTGCTTCTTTAGAACTTGTTATTTGACTGTCTAGTTATTAAAAATAAATAATGAGTTCCTATTTAGGCATTATGCTGAAAACAAACATCCAGTTTGTATTAGCAGTGTTTTAGAGTTTTGACAGACAATGCTGATACCAGGGACTTTTGTGTTTGTGCTGGGAAGCTGCTGAACTTGGGTTTAGTTACCGCCTTGGCTAAATTCCCTCAATTAGTAGTGGGTAATCACCAGTCTTCAGAAAAAGCAGGTATTTCTAAACCTTGTTGATAACTGTTTGTCTCAGTGAAATAGTCCATCATCTGTAATGAGGTTAGAGAGCTCCCAGTGAGGGTCCCGTGCCTGGAAACATTTGGATGGGACTTTGCAGCAGCCTGGTGTAGTTGAAGATTCCCCTGCTTATTGCAAGGGGAGATTGGACTGGATGACCTTCAAAAAGTCCCTTCCAATGCAATTCTATGATTTTATAAACATGCTGCTAACACAATAATTTAGTATAGCTGCTTAGGTCTGGTGATGCAAACTGTTCTTTGCACAATGTAAATGTAAAGCAAAATTGTCTTAAATGACTGCTGGGAATTGTGGAAAGAAAGAGTCAGTTTAAGCTCTTGACTGTTTGTGGATAGTCATAATGTGAAACTTTGATAGGCTTGAGGGTTTGTTTACACTAATTTTCTCCCTCTTGTTGAGGGCTGAGTATTGCTGTCATAAGGAATTAGTGCTGAAGTGCAACTCAGGTGTTACTGCAGTGTAAGGTAAAATGATTACCCTGAAACTTGAAAGCCTGTTATTAAGTTGCCCTCTCCTTACAAGAGTGTTCTTCTTGTACTGGTGTAAGGTATTTCTGTATCTCTTAGCCCAGGAGTAAAATGATATTTTCTGTAGCTGAGATGGTTGTGAATGACTATTCTGTAAGCAGGTGTGCTTTTTAGGATCATCTCTTGGTCTTTGATACCAGCTTTTCATAGTAGTAGAATATTCAATGGGATTAATCAGAGGGCTGTAGCACCATATGTAAACTGGTTTTCACCACAAGGTGGGGCAAAATAAATGCATTAAAGCAACTGGCTTAATCCAATTTGAAACCAGTAACTTCACCAAAACTCTGTGTGATGCACAAAACATGTGGTCTTATGGTTCTCTTTTTCACCTGACTTCCATCAGTACTGCAAGTGGCTATGTGTGTGGTTATTGAAGCAGTCTCTTCACTTCAGGTTTCAGCTATCGTGCTTTACCAGTAAGCTGTGGGAATTTCTTACTACCTCCCCTCACCTTTTCTAGTCAGTTCCTCTTTCTAAGATTGGGTTTTTTTTCAGGTAACATTAGTTATTGTGTCCATTTTGCACTCATAATATCAGGTTTCTGGAGGAATTTGGAAAGCACATGTATGTTTCATGTGCTTATTATTCTACATTTGGAAGAGTAGAAGGACCACAACTCGTTTCATTGAATATACATTATGAAAAATTGCATTTGAAATAAGCAAAGAAGCATTAGTAAGGCATGCAGTGGTTCTGATCATAGCTTTTTTCATTATTGATGTAGATGATTGCCAATTGCTGTAAGTCTTTCAGGACTCTCTAAATGGCAAAACCCAGCTGTTATTTGCAAAGATGCTTTTCCATCCTAGTTACCAGCAGCTTCGCTTGCATGTACCACTAGGTAGCTAACCCTCTGTTGGACTTAAATTCTGTGGCCTCAGCTGTGTATTTTCTGTCCTTTTAGAAACTCTTTGCTACACTGACTTATAGGCTTAAACTGTCAAAATACTGGGGAAGTCATGATGTTCAGAATATGTTTGTAAATTAATAAATTGTGAACTTTGCTGGCCTGAACTCAGCAATTCCAAGCTCATCAGAATCTTAAGGCATGCAATTGCTGTAATTTAAATCTTGATGTAACTTAAAATAATCTTCAATGACACATTGGCTGCATTCTCCCACTGGTACAAAAAACTCTTCCTTAAGTAAGGGAAAAACTTCCTGTCCTAAGACTGAGGCTGTTTCCAGTTGAAGCAGGACTGCCTTTTTTCCTAGTCCCTGTCTGTTCTTATTTAGCGAAGAATTTGTTTCCTTCCCCTGTGTAGTGGACATACTTAGTCATGTACTAGATGCTTTTACTCTATAAAGTGGACACACTGAAGACAAATGGAAGAAAGAAATAACTGTAAGATAAAATGCCCTATGTTTTGCCACAGCGCACTGATCACTTAAGACCATCTTTAAAACTTCTTGTGTGCCCCAAGTTTAACACATGAGCCATGTTTGGTGACTTTGCCCACTCCCAGTTTGTTTTGTTTAGTGCTTCATGTCATCTTAAGGAAATGTACTGTAAAAGAAGAGGTTAAGACAGTAGACATAGGAAAATGCTTTTAGAATCAAACAGATATATTGAACTTTTCTGAAACTTTGATTTGCCAAACTTACCTTGTTAATCTTTGCAAAAAATGGCAAATAATTTTTGTGTCAAGCTGTTGGTTTCCCCAAGATCCCATGATGCTGACCAAATGAGGCAAACTGGTGTCTCAGGGCAGAAGAAACGGCTTGTTGCTGGGTAGCTTGCAGAGCTGATATAATTTTTATGTGATTAACTTGAGTGCTGCCCATGACTACTTAAAATACTTGGTTTGGTTTAACTCTGTCTTGCTAAGTTGGATTTCTTATCATGGGTATTGATCAAGTAGGTCTTGTTCCTCTGCAGCCTAGCTCTTACCAATGCTACAAGTGAGGAATGAATTGTACAAAGCAGTGTAAAAGGCATAGGTCACGAATTAGATCCTAGACACTCTAATGCAGAAAGTCTTCCAATTAGGATTAAAAGATTATGCATGTCAGGCAGTATAGATATTGGGTACTACAGAATACTCAGAAGAAAGAAGTATCAAGTAGATGGCAAATTAGTGAACTTACTGGCCTTAAAACAAAGAGGCAAACTGCCTCCCCCCCAAACTCTTAAAACAAGAAAACCTCAATAAGTTAATTATTAAGTATTAATTAGCATACAGGATAAAGTGCACAAAAAGATAAAGCTCCTGGTTTTGAGGTGAGAGAAAATAAAAACTTGAAATACTGTTTTGGAAAGAAGTTAATGAAGTGCATGTCAGATGCGATGAAGAAAATGACAATTTCCAGTGTCATGCTATTGCCAAGGAATCAATGAATTTAATGTCGGGACGAAATAATCCTGTGTGTGTTGTAATCATGCCAACATCATCCAGACCTGTGCCCAGTGTGCGCCGAAAAATAGTTTTAAAACCAACAGAAGCAATTGAAAAATGCTTATGAAGTACAGAAAAACCAAGAAGCAGCTTTTTGGCCTCAAAACTTGATGCAGTAGGATTTAATGCTCATGTCTGGATGCTATATTGTGTTCATTTTCTGTAAAAAAGTATAAGGACCAGAGCAGCAAGAGATTTCTGGTATGCCTATGTTGAATGTAAGGTGAAGGTTGAATAAGCTGGGTTAAATTAGGTGGTGGTCATGAGTCTGTAAAAGGGCAAGCATAGATGGGCAAATTAGTTGAGACCTTTTGAACAACTGCCCATCTATCTTCCATGCTTCAGCCATCCTGTCTTTAATACTCAAGTATAGTTCACGCCATGATGTTGCTCTCACACTGTGGAAGTAGGTCTTGCTTTTGCATCTTAGGGGGTTGATGGCTCCATTTTCCACACAAAGCATTGTCCTTACTATCTTTTTCAATTTGACCTAAATAGAGCATAAGGTTTCTACTGAGTGAGTGTAGCAGCTTCTCTAATGTTCTCCCAGCTGCCTCTTGTGGCCTCCACCGCCACTGTGGGCAGAGAAAGTCGTTAAAAATCACACTCATGTGGTACAACGAATGGTCCTGGGATAAGAGGACTGCATATAGAAATTACACTTCCACAAAACAAAAAATTAAATAAACCAAAAAGAATGCCAAAACCCTGCTTTGGATAATCTGTTTTCCAAATTGAAAATGGTAAAACTGTTTTGCACTGTGAGAGATGAGATGTCAATACCTCCTTGTAATTATGGGTTCATTAACCAGATACTTCTTAATCCATGACTGAAACATCTAGAAAGGCCATAGAATAAGTATCTGGGCTTCTGCTTGTTTTGTTTCAGTTGTTGGGACAGAGTAGTCCTGAATGATAAACTATAGAAATGAGTATCCTAACAGCTGCTTTCAATTTTTCAGTATGTGGTTATTTAGTTACCTTGCAGTTGATGTGTCATACAACAATCACAATTTATGAGAAGATATGACAATAGAAGCCTAAACATTTCTGATGTATAAAAAAACTAAACATGGAAACAGGTAGGACTGGGAATAAGTGTATTTTATGACACTGAGTAGTTTTGAATAGTTAACCTTTGGTGTCTAGTTGACAAATGTAAAACCAAATACTGCACAATGAACTCAAACTGACAAATCTCTGGTATCATTTGAGAAAGCAGGTGTTTAAAATTAGTCTGTCATGCTGCTTGAAGGCTTCTTTTTCTAAAAGTACAGTATTGAGTAGTCTTCTTTGGGTCTGGACATCTGGACAGCAACTTAGTTAAGAGTTCTTGTTTACTTACATATACCTTCACAAAGAGGTGGAGAAAAAAATTACACAGTTGCATACTTTGTTTTGAAGAAAAATCAAAGGAATAGAACATATCAAGCTTTTATTTCCAGCTGAAATTATTTGAGTCTAGAGTTTTGGCATGAAATGCTAATGATAGCTGCTAATTTAATTTATTTTACTATTGTGGAAATCTTGGGAAGGGAGGAATACAGCAAAAATTAGAACTTTCATGTATGTAAAATTCTAAATATAAATTTGGGTTTATACTTCTGCATTTTAGTAATGCTACAGAAGCTATTGAAGAAATCTCTACCAGTGATTTTGGGACTACAAGGCAGTAAAGTTCATGTTAAATCAGGAAAACCAAATTGTGGGTCAAATAACAAAGCTATGTTATGTCAAGTTCTCCATACTAGGTTTTAAAGGCTTTTTTTGCAGCAGATGAGACAATGCTTCATGTGTACATCAGCTCAGATATGCAAGCTTACTGCACAAAGCTCTAGCTGTTGCTGGTGTTGCAGAGCAGGGAATCAGATTTTGAAAGAAGCTGTATTAAAAATATTTCAGATCTAGAAGAGTGAGTGTGCAGCTTGGTAGAAAGTAACCTGCTATTGGCTTATTTTCGGTAGGGTTACTAACAAATCTCAGAGGGTGGTCATTCAGAGAAGCAAAGTAGAATAATTTGCTCTTGGTATCTGCCCAAACAATCCTTCAATTTCATAACAACTTGTATTCTTCAAGCATTTCTATGCATAGAACAGAAGATACGTTTTTGTAAGGTTATCCATTTAATAGTTGCCTTTTCTTTTAGTATAATTGAGCAAATGATAAACCAACTTGTTCAGACATGAACAGTGTTAGACTGAGCAGAAAACAGTCAAAAACTGATCCTGGCACTAAATGGGCTAAAGCTGAAAATATTTGTTATCTTTGGAAGGTATAGGTAGTTGGAGAACTTGCCAGGTATGGTACTTTGTTCTGTTCTCTTACAAGATGTGTCTGTGGGTCAGCTTCAATTTATTGGAAAGAAATTCCATGAACTAACTTTTTTCCTTCTGACACTGAAAGGCACAGAACTTGCAAGACTTATCTCTGCTTTGTGATTAGTGAGGGCTGATCCACTGAGGTGGATTCTGAAGCATTATGGTGAGTAGCAATGACCTTCCTTCAGAGGACTTCAGTAGCCAGATTAGAGCAAGAGACCAGGATTGTGGAACAGGCTGGTACACTACTGCAAACCTGTCCCTTACAGAACTGGTGACACAAATGGGCCATTCTAAAACAGCCCAGCCATGGTTTATATCTGAAGCACCAGGTAGTTTTTCTGACTTGGGCTGCAGCTGGTGGGTGGCTTGCACAGGGCCAAAACAGATTTGCTAAACCAAAAGGAAATTTTTTGGAAGTTTTTTTTTTTTTAAGTCTATAGCCCTCAGCAGTAGACTTGTCCATGAAGAGAACAACTTCCTTTTAGAAAGAAATGTGTTCCCCAAGTTTTTAAAATTTTGGGGTGAGCAGTGGCTTTATGAGGAGGTCACTTCCTTCCACATGCAAATTACTTTAGTCTTAGTATTGAGTTCCATGTAGGCAAAATATATATATAGGCAGAAAATTTATTTGAATATAAAACAATGAATTTTATTTTTATTGTATTTTGTTACTGAAATTTTATTTCCATATAGATTACTTTGTATATTAAAAACTTAGATAAATTTTATGTACAATTGCATATTTCTGTGCACTTATTAGATCCTTTATTCAATGTGTGGTTGGCATATATAATAAAGATGCAGCTTGGAAGTAATTTCTATAATAGTGATCAAGAAAACTAAAACTCCTAACGTTAGAACACCGAAGTAGATTTCAAGTGACACAAACTAACAGTACAGGTAGTGTCAGCAGGCCAAAGCCTTGTAGAACTGTCATCTCTTGAGATATGCGTAGTCTTCTAGGATGTCTGATTAACATGAGCATTTGCAAGTGGATTAGATCTTGTTTAACTTAAGTAGTGACACTTTCAAAGATGTGGAATTCTTGTTTAAATCTCCTTTTTTTCCCCCTCCTTAGTTGAACCTGTTGTGAGCTTAAAGAAAGGACCAAACCCTCTAATAGATGGTGCAAATGGGACAGTAGCAGCCACTTGTACAGCAGCCACTGGAAAACCTGCTGCGCACATTGACTGGGAAGGAGGCCTTGGTGAAATGGAATCCACCTCTACTTTGTTTCCAAATGAAACAGTGACAGTTGTAAGCCACTATGTGATTGTCCCGACACGATTTGCTAGAGGAAGACACATAACTTGTGTTGTGAGGCACCCCACCTTTGAAAAGGAGATGCGTTACCCTTATGTGTTGGACATACAGTGTAAGTATTCTCTGAGGTAATTACTCCTGGTTTGTGTCTTGCAACTTCCCCCTTAATCAGTGTTCCACAGGAAGGAGATGAGCTTCTGCTTCAGGAAAATGGAAACTGTATAGAAAAGCTGTGGTAAGAGGCAGGTCAGGCAGGAGTAAAAGCCTAGGGTCTCTGTATGGAAAATAAAGTAATGAAGTTAGAATACTGTTACATTTCTACTGTTTTGGATATTGAATCATGGATAAACATGAGAGTTGATCCAAAAGCTGTTTATAGTGTCTTACAATTTCAGCAGTATTAAAAAAGAATGCTAATGAAAATTCATGTATGAGATGCTAAGTTGAAAATAGGTCTTAAGTTACTTTCAGATTATTCACCAAGCTTTGTCCACTCTAACTAGCACAAGGAAACAAGAACATAATGATATAATTCAAACCTGCACCGGGCTTCTTTAAAAAATTTATGGCTTTTAAAAGACATGAGTACAAAACAAGGTGGCTTACAATGTTGCTTAGTTAAAACCAGTCAAGACATGTAAGCTTTAGGCATGTGGTCCCTTTTTGTTAGACAGTACATATGTGAACAAAACCAACTATTTTCGTGTTGGTCCTTTGGTGGCCCGTCTTGGCTGTGTGCTGCTTTAAAGTTCCTAGATCACAGAAGTCTGTCAGTTCAAGTAGAACAAATGTAGCAGCTGGGAAAAGTAGACTTGGCTTGGTTTTGATTTGACTAGAATTTGATTTTGGCTTGGTTTTGTTTGTTTGGTAAATAATCACTTATTTTGGCATAAAATAGTGATTAACACTGCTTTATTTTATTGGTCTTGAAATAAAGTTCTAGATTGGAGGGTCATTGATACAGAAATAAAACTGAAGAGGATTTGTATTGTCTCAAACAGTGACTAAAATAATTGTTTCCTGTTGAAACTGAAGTGAGGGGGCAAGTTGGTCTTCAATACTTTCATCTGAGATTAGTGTTAATGCATGTTTCAGAATTTCTAACAAGGTTGTATAGTAAGGTACGCAGCAGCAAGTGAGAAGCAGCATGTGCTCTTCAGTCTTCCCTAACACTTATTAGTTTTTGCAACTGCTTCTCCATTTTGGTTCTAGTTTATCCCAAATCATACTAGTTTGTCTGTTCCATGGCTTTTAAGTATTTTTCCAACGCCTCTCTGAAATCACCTCCTGGCTTTTTAGAGCCATAACATAATTCTACATTTTGATGTTAATGGATAATTTAATCTTTACAGTTGGCATCGGTGAACTTTTTGGTGATTTCTTAATTATCTGGTTTCTCCCAAGGTTGTTTCTGGTCCTTTGCTGTATCTTTTTAGTGAGAAGTAGTTCTAAGTTACCATTCCTCCTTCCCAAAAACATGAAACTGATTCTTTTTTTCTGAAGTCCTCTCACTTCTCAGGGTGCTGTGTGGTTGCTGAAAACACACTGGGAAAGTTGCACTGATTAAAACTTTTTGTTCACTGCTGCATATTAATGTTGTAGCTTGGAACTGTATCATGCTCTCTGTGTATTTTGGTGGTGGTCTTTAAATTAAAAACAAAAAGGCAACCAACAACTAAAGCACACAAAAAAAAAAAACAAACCAGAAGAAAAGTACCTGTCTGTTCTAACAATCTTACACATTATTCGCTTTTAATGTAAAAATTGTGATTGTTCATACATGATTTTTTTTTTGTCAGATACCCCAGAAGTTTCAGTAACTGGATATGATGGAAACTGGTTCATTGGAAGAGGAAATGTTCAGCTCAAATGTAATGCTGACGCAAATCCATTGCCTATGGAATTCATGTGGACCAGGTAAATATTTATGAAAAGGGACTTGGCACATGATTCAAGGGGTATAATCACTTTGCTTACAGTAAATGCATGTTTTGAAAACAAAGAGTATGTGACTTATATTGGTCATATTGGTTTTATCCAGCTTTTGAAAAGGGGAGAACAACATGTGTGTTTGTATGAATACAGGTGATATCTTGTAAATTTATGTGCCTAAACAGTTTGTCATTACTCTCAGGGTAAAGTGTCTTTAGTTACTCAAGGTACACTGAGCTTTCTGTGTTGCAGCATGTAGAGCAAAGACCAATAACTCTAATAAGCATCCAACTATTATTTACATATGCCTCTAATGAAAAAATTTAAAAGCTTATGTATCATCCACATTTCATGAATCTGTGGACTAGCACCCCAGGCTTAGCTCAAAATCACTGTGATGAGAAATTTCAGCGCATAAAAATTCCTGTGTTTAAAAAAAGCCCCCAACAGCTATTCCATTTGCTTCTTCAGATGCACTAGGTTCTTAGTTCTCTCATTTGAATTTGAAACATACGTAAGAACTAATCAATACTAGAAGAAATGAACCTATTTAAATACATTTAAAGCCATTTGAGCTTCAGAGATGACTGCTAGACTTCCTAAACTTGAAATGGAAGAAACTTACAGGAAATCTAAATTTTCTGGAGTAAACCTGGTATGCCTTTCTAAGCACCAACAAAACCCATACAAAAATCTAGTACTAGTGAATAAGAAAGTTCATGTGTAGGGGGGAAATCCATGTAAAAGAAGGGTAGCTTGAGCTTGGAGAAGTGCTGTGTTGAACTGTGTACCGTTTGACTGGTATCAGATTACAATAGGTTGTAGAACTACCTTACCAATGAGATTTGTCGTTTGGAATCCAAGATGGCATTGTATTTACTGGGATAGTGAGATTTTCATGGTTAGTAATATTTTTAAATGTTGCATATATGAGAATTTTATTTGGATAGAGCTTTCAAACCTCTTGACTGTTTTTATAACATTTCTTGAAATAAGTACTTCTGGTACTATGAATTATGAAGTATGTGACTGATGACTTTTATCAGCAATTCTGGGCAATAATAACAGTAAAGGACTAGGGATCTTGTCCTTCAGAACTACATTTTCTGAAGATTGTATTTAGTGTTAACTGTGAAGTGTTTGTTTGTTTTGAGTACCTGTTTTAAAGTGATGGTTGCCTTTTTGTTCAATACTACTTTAAAAAAAATCACACTTTCTAAATACTTTCAAGATATTGTCATCTAGTGTTCTAGTTTGAATATTGATTTAGGCCTGCTTGGCTGTTAATAGGTACTTAGATAAATCAAAATGGATTTCAATGGCATGGAATTACACAGATGTTTAATGGACAGTTGGCAGCTCTGTTAGAATAGGTCCAGGGCCTTTGTCCTTTCCCCTTTTTCTCTTGCGTTTACGCAGTTGTTACTGCAATCTCAGACAGAATTGTACAGGGAAATGATAGATTTAGAAAAGTCAATTGATAAAAAATAATTATTCAGCCAGTTGTTTCCCCAGGTGTATTGCCAAGTACCACATTCCATTTCAGTGCTGTAATTTAGACAGAAGAGTGATGGGAGGTAAGAAAAGACAGTTCAGGAGAGGAGAAAGTGCTTGATTTCTTGCTCAGAAGTTCTAGTCAAATTGTCCTCCAAGTTAAGAATGTATGGACAGAAATATCTACTGGATGCAAATGAACAGGCAGCTAATCCTGACAGCAGAAGTGCTTCTTAGACTGTTAGTTTTCAGAGCTTGGGTTGTCTTGTTCATCCAAGTTCTTTTGAGATGTTGTTTTGCTTAGCTGTAGTAGTGTTGATTTTAGTCAGCTTGCTAGTTCCAGCAGATCTGACATTTAAAGGATTTTGCCCAGAAATTAAATACTGAGTAAACCTTCAGGTGTACACTGAGAATACTGAAGGGAAGCCCACTGGAAGTGTCAGAGCACAGTGAAAAATTCATTCTAGAGATTATTGGCAATATTATTTTCAACTCCTTCTGTTTAAACTAGTTGTAAATATACACATTTGAAATATAACTGTTCTTTTAGGTTGGATGGACAGTGGCCTGAAGGATTGTTGGCTGTTAACAATACTCTGCAATTCAGCAGCCCTTTGACTTATAACTACACTGGGACTTACATCTGTAAGGTGACTAATGCTCTTGGTCAGAAAAGTGATCAGAAGACTATCTACATATTAGGTAAGTTTTACTTCTTAGCAAAGACAGTATGTTAACTTGGAATATTTTTTTGTCAGTGATCAAATGAGCAAACTGAAGAGCCAGTTATTGCATGAAATATATGAAAAATATATGCTTTTTGTGTGAAAAGTCATTAAAAGTGAATTTAAAAGCTAAAGCACAATTTGGGATTAAACTGACTCTTGAATGGGAACGTATAGTGGAAATTCTTATGGTTAAGGTGCTTCTGAGATGATTATTTTCTCGTGGTAATTTAACTTTTTGTGCGGTGTTAACCTGTGTTTGACAAGACACATTAAGTGCAATCAGTAGTACCTTGTCTTTAATAAATTGAGAAAACACATGTTAGTGGAAGGAGAACAATTATGTTTAGAAAAGCTAATGTTCTTTTAGGGAAGTTAGAGTTATGTTCTGAATTGTGTCCATTTTATACCAGTTACTTGTGTCATTTTCTCAGGGTGCAGATACCCAGTAATCATCAAATTAAATACCTCATGCAGAACTCTTGCTGATCTACTTAGTACCATGTAGAGAATTTGTGCGTCTGTGTAGCACTACTGCTGCTGGAACACACATCCTTGCATCATTAACACAATGTAATTAATGTTTTACTGTGACACCTTTTTTGTGAAAGAGCACTATGACTTACAGTAAGCATGACTACTTCTATACACATGTGGAAAAGCTGTTCAGATTTCCATAAGGGATTAAGTAAGTTAGCTTGATGAATAAATGCTAATATTATAGGGATTTTGAAGGAAGATAATAGACATGAAAATCAGAACTTCATTATGTTGTATTGCTGCTTTCCAGTAAGTTCTTGACATTAGTTATTTCATTAAGTAAATTAAGTGTCAAAGCACATGTTGGCCCATTAGAGAATGCAGAGATGGTGGATACAAACATAGATGACTTCTTTGTTAAAACTTCATATGAACACTTAAGAGTTAAAATGAGAATGAGAATATAAGACTAAAACTGTAAGTACAAAATGTTTGAAACCACATCAGTCAGAATTCACTTTTGACAGTTCTCTGATCTTTAGAATGAATTATAATGTTGAAGTCAGTCACTGTAGGCCACTGTGGAAAGCTAGCAAGTTCTAATTAACTGTCTAGTCAATGAGCTAGTTAACTGAAAATGTCTAAATAGTTTGAGACAGTTGAATTACTTGTAAACTACTTAATACCTAGAATTTTATATAATTTAAAAGATTTCAAGTGCTGCCAATTGTTATGAAAGTTATTTCTGTGAGAGTTACTTTTGGATGTTTTGTTTCTAAGGCTGCTTCTAAGGAGAAGATTTCATGGCTGCATAGCAGTCTCAAAACAAGTACAAAAACTGGCACATTGTAAGAAGTATCAATTAAAAAAATTAGAAAATCATCATTAAATGGGGTGAAATGTTTGACTCAAATATAACTTTCAAATACATTTGCTCAAAAAATAACAGTGCAGTTTATAGCTCTGTTCTCAGCCTTATTCTAAGGAATGGGGAAAAGTTTTTTTCAAGTCCACTATTATTCAAGTTGTCAGTTCTGTAAATGTTATGTGATCTAAATAGACCTCATGCTTTTTACCGTGACTGTCATGCATGAAAATTAAAGGTTGTCATTCCAATTATGTTTTCAACTAACAGACTAAAACAGGCCAACCAGGAAATCCTAGATAATATTTTCTAAAATGAATCAAGTTTTTTTAAAACGCAGGGTAGGCATACAGGCTAGTTGGGCCGTGGTGATGGTTTATAATCTAGCCTAATGCAAATCTTACAGAGTTTAAAACAGCTCAGTGCAGAGATAGTTAAGCTGCAGCAGTTGGCGTTTGCTGTGAATTGATGGACGCTGTTTATGTGTGTGCTGCTTTTCAGCTGTGCTCAGCAACTTGGTTTTACTGTAGCAATTTAACTGCAATTAGCAAACCTTAGCTGTTTTCAGGGAGCAACAAAACTGAGCCTCACATATTGTGCAGTCATACAGTGTCGTGGTTCTGCCAGGTAGGTCTACCTGTAACAATAAAGTTTTTAGCTGTCAGTAAATTTCAGTCTTTAAAAGTGTTATGTTGATCATGCTGACAAAATGATTAAAAGCACTGTGTATAAACTTTTTGTATATAGGAGATTTGATAAAAAAAGGAGAGGTGAAGCAATTATTAGTGTAACACCTGTATTGTTTTCAGAAACAAATACTAAGTACGTTCTACTGTAACTCTTGAAAATAACTTTACAAAGTGATTGGTTCTTTAATTGAAATGCCCTTAAGTGATGCAGGATGGGCAAGTGACCATAATCAATTCACTTACCACCTGTGATATTTGACTTAACTCACCAGGTATCTATTAATAGTAAACATGGCAGTGATGTACTGTAGAGCAATAAGCTGAAATAATCAATTAGCTTATTTTTCTGTCTTTGCTCTTAGCCACTGCATAAAACTTGGCATAAAATGTGAACTGAAACTTGGAAGTTAACAGACAAAGCTGTATGATCTTTCAAATTTTAATTATGAAGCTGTCAAAAAGGATTTATGAAGTTAATGTTTCTGAACAGTCACCATGCTGTAGTTGTTAAGCTTTTTAACTGCTAGAAAAAAATACCTATTAAGTTGAAATGTATTGTAGGTTTGGAATATAGCTGAGCAAAAGATTGGTTTTGGTCCTGATATTCATTGTTAAAGTCAAAGCTATATTTTTAATAAGTTCTGTTGTGCTCCTAAATCTTGTTAATATTCTTGAAGTGAAATACAGAAATGAAAGAGAAGTAGTTGACAGGAACTAAATAGTATCTTCAGCTTCCAGCTTCAGGAGATTCTACATCATTATAGGAATAGAGAAATACTCAAATAGTTTTTGAAGTGTGGTACTTGTTTTTATATGGCATTTAAGGCGTTGTCATTTTTGCAATTTTTATTAATTCAGTGATTCAAAGCTAATTTATTAATTCAATAAATTCAAAGCTAAACTTTTTCCATAGTTGTCCAGCAAAAGCAAGTCATGCTCCTAGTGGAGTTCAAGCATTGAAGTAAGTTTTCTAAAACATGCTGTCAGTTTGATATATAAAGCACTTCCTTGTACAATATTGATTTACTCAGTTTTCTTACACAAGGAATTGAATTTTGTTTTCTTGACTCTTTCACTTTCATACTGTTTAATGTGGCTTTCCCTTTCTCCCCTTGCAAGGGAGAGGTGACCTGTGAGGCTTGCATTAAGGTTGGAACATACTTCTTCTGTCATGACAGCCTTTGGAAGAGATTACTTTTGTTAAAAGTAAAGCCATCCTTTGTTAGGCAGCAATCCTAGAAAGGTGTATTTTGTAAGCACAGGGGTCACCTTCTTGTAGAGTGGACACTGTGAGGATTAACATAGCAGAGACTGATAGTTGGTTTTAGGTTTTGCTGCTTCATATATAAACCTCTGTTCTGACAGCACCTTGTGAATACGGGCACTCTCTTATTTTCTAAATTACATATTGGAGGGATGTTGACAAACTGCTCTTTAGCAAAGGGCTTTTGCTCCCTGGTCTAGTAGGCTTTGAATTTTCAGTGGTTTCCTGAATATTCTTCCATGCTGGAGGTTACAATAATAATAAGTTTCTCTTGTGTCCCAAAAAATACCAAAGTCTTATATGTGGTGCATGAAAATCCCAGCTAGAAACCACAAAAGCACACTGAACTTTGAAAGTGGATGATTGATGAGAGAAATTGTTGATAGCAATATTAGTATTATGCTGCCAAAATAAAGGTGGGGGAGCACACACTGAAAAGAATCCTAAGGAAAATGTTTAGCTCCAGTGTGAAACCTTTGTAGGCAAGACACTGTGGGGTGACTGTTATGCAGTATCCTCACTGACTACTTGACATTAGAGTAGCAGTGGCTGGAGGAAGAAAGAAAGAATCATAAATTTCCAAATCATTTGCTCTCAGACTTTGGGTCTTCCTCCATGGAAAGCTAACTTTCCTGCTGTCACAAAAGAGTTGCTACATAAGTTTTTCAGCAGTTGAAAGAGCTGATTTTTAAGACCTGACTGCACAGAATTATTATTCCGTTTTTAAGTACTTAACATCTAAGGATCATTTAGCAAGAACAGCAAGTCAAGACACAGTAGTATGTATGTATCTGTGCAAACATACAAGTAATACATACACAGGCAGGTCCTTGCCACCCAGTAAAATGATGTATGCAAAGAGAGATCTTGTAATTTGTTCAAAGCCAACTCACTTGTGGATTAGATGCAATTGATAGCAGATCCTTGTCTTGTAGGAGGCAAAAAAAGGGGACATTTGCATCTTGAATGGTGTGGGATTGTTTTTTGCTAATAGAGAGAACTATTTCTGGCCACTCTGTTGTGGCTTTTGGAACCAGACAGACTTTGTCTGTTAACACACAGCAAATCTCCAAGGAACCTTTTTTTCCAAAACTTTGTTTCTGTAATATGACAAATTCTAACCCAAATAAATTATGACAGTATTGAATTATCTTACCTGTTGTAGAACTGGTCACTTTACCTCTCAAATACTTCATAGTAGGCTAAATCCAAAATGGTTTATGGTTTAAGAGTATTGTGTTCTGTTGTTGACTTTTTTTTTTAACAATGATAAGCTGATAATACCAAGACAGGATTTAAACCTAAAACTTTGAAGATAGTGATCTGCTTTTTAGGGATGATTCATCCATCTCTTTCTACTTTCTTCTCTCTGACATTTGGCTTATTGTTGGCTTTGAATTGGCAACAGAAGCAGAAGTGAGTCCCAGAAATTTGAAGGATGTGGTGTAGCAGAAGGATTGAAGCAGGGAGATGTAGTGTTTCGGATGCGAAACATGTTATGTTAGTTGGATGCTTTTACTAAACTTAATGGTAGAAACCCCCCTGCCCAAGATAAGTTGTTGGTGTTGTAAGAGCTGAGAAAACGATATCAAGAATAGTCATTTAAGGGAAAAATAAAAATATCAAGCTGACACTGTTGAAAGCTGGTACTGACTTTGATGGGAAACATCTAGAAAACG